AAAAAGACACAAAAAAGACTGAGTCACATATCAGCAAAGTTTTTGCAGCCCAGACAGAGGACGTGGATACGAGTACCAGGGCGGAAGATACCCAAGATGTTCTCGATAAGCAGGAGCTGGCTCTCGCCCATCACCTTCATGTACACCAAAATATGAAGTCATCTCCAGTCGCAGCCTGACTGGAGAAGACCTTTGCGGGTTGGTGGTATGGACCGGACGTACCTGGAATGGAAAGACCGATATTTTCTTCGTGGACCGGACTGAAGGTGAGCGCTGGCGGTTACATCGAGCAACTCGAAGAATATCCTCTCCACATGTCGTCGCCCGTACCTTCTTGGAAACTTTGTACTGCTACTGGGTGCCACCACATGGAATCGAAGGGCGTTGGAAAAACTCTCGCCTACTTGGAATGGAAGGGCGTTGAGTACCTGAAGAAGATGGAATATCTAAGCAGGTCTAAACCCCCTCAATTACCTGGTTCGGGCGGAGTTCAATAGGGTGGTCTACAGTGGCGGAGAAATCAACGATCTCGCTGAACTCAGGCACCCACTCACGGTCGCGTGGCAGAATCTCTCGATGGCGCTCCTCCAGAAGGCTGTGGCGGAGTATCATGATAGTATTTAATATGCTCTTTAATATGGTGGTAGAAATGTCCGATCAGAATTTATAAAGTGTAACTTATAGCGCCTCGAAAGTCAAGAAGAAAAGTGTCTTTTTTTGCCCCCCCCCTGTAAATATAAATATAAATATCAAACCCTCTTCTTCCATTTAGAGTCACACTGGTTTATTGAATGTGGCCCTATACACCGACTTTCGGAGTCAGCCAACGTTCAAGTCAGTGTTCTTGTCCTTCCAGACGAATCTGTTTCCAACTCACCGTTCGCGAGGGGAAGGCTTAGTTGGCCTAGGCGGCAGCTGATCCGGGATTCCGGACCGCGTGCGTGGTCGTGCCACTTGTCATCACATCCGCCTCATACTAATAGATATAGAATTATTTATTTCAGACAAAAGTACGACAAATGCCTAACAAAGACTTTAGCGAAAGGCTTTCGAGTGCTAATGTTCATTGCAAAACTGAAGTGAATGATCATAGTTCATTAAACGATTGCAAATTAAGATCTCAAATTTTAATGATTTAGTAAATGCATCAGTAGATTGGACTGTAATAATTTGTGCAAAAACATTGTATAACATTGAGTCGCATTTTGATAGTAAACATTTCCATATCCTACTAATATCAACGGGATCTTGGCACTTCCATTCCTGATCTTCTTCGGGGAACGCGTGCCCGATACTTGCAATGAAACTCGGTGAATGAAGCTAGGGAATCGCGGATCAGCGTACTTCCTTTCTCTGACCCCATAAGGGGTTTTATTTGACGTTGTCAGAAATTTTTTCGATTTTCCGCGTTCATGCGCCAGTGCATCCCCTCATAGTAAGTCGGCGGTAAGGGGAGACGGGCAAGAGAATCGTAAATTACCGCCGTCGCACGCGGCAATGGGCACGACGTCTCCTCGACTTGCACTATCCTTTCGATTCGAGCAACGGATTTCATGTAGACAAGGACATGGTGGGCGCTTATGTCTATCTTCTGGTCGTTACGCTGGTCCAATTCTCGCGACGAAGACCGCGCTAAAAATCGCCGTTCTTACAGTGGAGCACGCGGACGTCAACTTTCACCGGCGGGCGTGAGTTACGATTTCTCTTCGCGCACACATACCACCCGGACCGGTAGTGGGCAGTGGGCAGTACTGATCTAAATTAGTGATTAAAGAAGTCTGACCCCCCCCCACCCCTCCTTCACTACCCAGCTTCGAGCAGCAAAATTTCGAAGAAACCGGATAGGAAGCCGATGTTTATGTATTCGGAGCTGCAGCAGGAGTTTGTGATAGTGGGGGGAGGTTAAGTATCTACTTTGCGGTTCCTATGACTGCCGTACAGTGTCGCAGTTGATGGCTTCCATACGGAATGACGTATGGCTTGTTTAATGGTACTTGTCCAGCATCCACTACGAATCGCGGGGCTTGGTCGTGGGGGGGCGGGGGGTGGGGCGGGGCTTTGGTGTGGCCGACGCAATGTTATTCACCCAAATGTTGAAGAAGCAGCGGCAGCAACTGGTGGAACTAGGGCTGGCAGCGCGCAAAACTCAGCCCATCCCTGATACTCACTAGCATCCGCAGCTAACATATTTCGCAGTATCTACAGAGTGTGTGTTGTGTTCGCGTTTCGCGCAATAAACGCGCCTACTTATCAAAACAAGGCGTTTGTAAGTGAGATCCGTGGCTGTGGGGCGGAGGCGGGCGTCCTCAAGTGGTAGTCACGGGCAGCATTTGCACCACACGGCCTGGAATGGAAATATGTTCTGTCGGAAATGGAAATAGTCTGGCAGTAAAAACAGGAAAAGTCTAAGCCGAATCTTCGCACAGTCATCTCTCCAAAGTCGGTGACATTGTTGGAAGTGAAGTTTGGTACGAACCCTCCTGTCAGCGTATATTTCGTAGTTTGGTCATGTGATTTCATTCATGGGACTCGTCGCAGCTCGGCTCCCCCCACCCGCCATGGAAATGCACTCCTTCCTTTTCTTTCTTTCTTTCAAGTGTTGATAGCACTTCCCGTATCTTCCGCAGGAGGAAGATGGGGATTTTCTGACTTTTCGTGTGTCCTGGGGATCACGTGCGATGTCTCTCCCTACGCTTTCCTAAATCTTGTCTGTCAGGGTAGCTTAGGTGACCTCGAGAAGAAACCTCAACTGAAGATCGCTCAAACTAGTACGCGATCTTCGCTGTGGCCTACGCATCTTTCTATTTTCGTTTTAGCTAGCCGTGGTTTATTTGCCGCCCCTCCGCGCCCCCCCCCCTCCTAGCTTTCCTACACGAGCTCTTCTAGGACGTAGGACTTCTCGCCAGATGTCACCCGATGCTTTAGAGAGGATTTAATTAGGATTATGCTTGCGAATATGATTGCCAATAACAAACCTTTTTCAAATCCGACTTTAGTCTCTTTGAGTCCATTCTGCTCTGAAACAAAAATCATGTTCTGAATGCAATACAAATTGCAAAAAAAGCCGGAGCAGCGCTTGTTGGAGGGATACACGTGGTCACAAACGTGCAGGTATTGCTTACTTCGCTGTGGACGAGGAGGCTTGTCGGTGGGATGAGTTTGGCGCGGTGCCGAACCCGTTTGCACCAAGTTCCTCGACAGGAGCAATTGACATGACTGTACCATACCATTCGTGTCGTTTTCTACCGAGTGTTGTTGCATACCCACTCAACAACTGACAAAGAACGAGCTTAGCGACGTGGCACACTCACTCTGCCTGACACCGCCCCTTCATCCACAGCGAAAGTAGAGTTTCAGCGGTATCTGTCGAGGTTTCTATCATGCTTATGGGAGCGCGTGCATCTGCTAGTGGTCACGTAAGGAACGTGTAGGAACGGTAGCGTGCTACAGAAGCTCAAGCGGCATGCCAGAGTAAAGCCTTTTTGCAGTGGATTCCAGTCATTAGTTTGAATGGCTCTTGCGTCTTCAATTGTCTCTTTTCCTTAGAGGCAATTGGCACGATAAGTCTTCCAAGACGAGTAGGATTAATATGGCAGGACTAATACTCCCGACAGGACGGACTCCGCGACTCTGAGCAGGCGCTCCATAATGCCTTTTCCAAGGAAGGTTTGGCCCTTCCGCTATCAGGCTATAAAAATTCCACCGAAACGCCTGGCCCGCCACGCCCGCGCCCTCCCACAAATGGACGACCGTTTCTGACGCTCGTATTGATTCATTTGCTAAGCAAATTATGAAGCGAAGGGATTGGTATGAAGCGGCCGTGATGCTGCATGGATATATGAGTACACATATGCAGCCGTACCTTCGGTAGCGGTTATTGGCAAGATGCCTACGGGAAACTCGTCCAAAATTGATTACTAACACAGTGAGAACGGAGGCTCTTTCTTCGCAGGATTTTGACCGTTTCACTCCGTTCTTTCGCCATTTCCCCACTATATAGCGCCCTACTAGCATTTTAGGCCGAGCACCAAATCATCGTGCCAACTGTCTTTAATGACAGTGTGCTTTGGACTCATGAAGTAATTCAAAGGCAAACAATGGGACAGAAAATCAATCGTAAAAGAAGTCTGTATTAATTCAAACTCACCTTGGATGACTTATCCCTCGCTGATCGTTTACTTCCATCCGTTTTACGACCTGGCATTGGTGGCCTATAAGCTTCTCCAGGTACACTAAAGAGGTGAAAATAGCAGCAGGAAATGACAGACGATATGAAATCAACAACAAACAGAACGGAACCTCTCAACGCGCAGAAAGCAGCTCAGAGTCCACATAAGTGTGTATGTGCTGAGAGAGAACCCTTTTTTGCTTTGCCCTCAAGACGCCCACCGCACCCGCCCGCCCACAACTGTCCGAGCGATCCTGATGGTCGCTTCTTCGGCAATGTACAAAATGAAGCCAAGGGATTGATATGAAGCTGCCGCGGTGCTGCATGGATATATGAGTACATACATGCAGCCGTATCCACCGTAGCGGTTATTGACAAGATGCCTATGGGAAACTCGTCCATGCTTTCTAAATCGTGTGGACCAGAGGCTTTTCCGCAGGATTTTGACCGTTTCACTTCGTTTTTCCGCCATTTTTCCACTATATAGCACCAATGCCATCATTTTTGACTGAGAACCAAATAATTGTGCCTTATACCTTTGAACCACGCGAGGAGGGCGGTTCCGCAGCCGTAGAAGAGCACCGTACTCGCTAATCGGAAGTGAGGGGCAGTTAAAGTGGGTGCGTAATAAGTGGATGTTCATTCATGTCCCCGCCTTCAAGCAAAGGACGCCACACACAAGCAACACGTCGCACTACTAGCCATACGCACTACGTCCATGCGCCTTCTATGCCCATGTCAAAATGGGGCGCCATTGTCCCAAAAACAGTCGACGACATAATTAGGTGATGTGCCTAGATGTTCGCTGCTAGCATTTAATGTTCTTGGGCTGCGTTCATACTTTGCGCAGCGTCCATTAGCGTTTTGAGCGTTCGATAGCGTCAGCGACTAGGAAAGTAGAGATTTCGACCGGGGTCTACTAGTGCGCACCAGCGTCTCTCAGCGTTTGCCAGCGTTTGCCAACGTCTACCAGCGTCCACCAGCGTTTTGAAGGCGTGGGAAGCATAGGTATCGATCTAGCATCTGCCAGAGTCTACCAACGCCCGGTAGAGGAGAGTATGGCGCGATACGAGGGTAGCAGACAGCTGCTAGCCTCCTATCGCGCCGCTCCCAGAGTCCGCTATCCCCTGACCCGCTCCTACTCTCTACAAGCTGTCTGCTACCCTCCTTTCGCGTCATACTATCCTCTTCCGCAGCTGGTGGACGCCGCTGCACACTGGTAGACGTTAGATCTATACCAATAATTCACACGCCCTTGAGACGCTGCGGGACGCTGGTATGCGCTGGTGCACACCGGCAGACGCTAGATTGATATCCATATCTTTCCTGTTGACGCTGCCAGCCGCTCAAAGGCTAGTGGACGCTGCCGCAAAGCATGAACGCAGCCTTACTCTCTAGACAGAGGAACAAAAGACAGAAATCTCTGGAAATGTGGGGTACTATTAAACACTTCATGCCCTGTTTACAAGTGGTTGAAAATTACGAATTCATCACTTCACTGGGTTTGAAAAAACTGGACATTACTCGTCACTTGACTCATTTGCTTCCGAACTTACAACTAATATCACTGCAATGGTCGGGACGCAATCAGCGGTTTTCACTTGCGGGGTTTCCATCATTAGTTGTCCTTCCTAAATCGATCTCTACCCGATCGCCATTGGTAGAGCAAGGGAGTCGAACCGCGCCGCTCACGCCGTCCCCGACAGTCCGCAGTGATGAGCAATGTACACGTCACCCAAAGTCCAAACAATTTCCTTCCAATCCATTTCTCACCCGTGTCTGATGAATTTCTTGAGAATCCATGCCACATCCTTCATGACCGGTCGCTGTTCTGGGTTTGCGGACCAACAAGCAGCAACAATTATTCGAATTTCTTCCGGCATATCCGGTGACAACGGTGGACGAAAGTTTGGCTCGCATAACTGTAACTCGGACTTTATGAGGAACGGTTTTCCGTGAAAATATAATGACCAGTAGGGGAAATAACAGACACGACGTCGGACGGTCTTATTGGAGAACTCCTCAAACGGTTGCCTGGCGTTATTGAATATCTCCCAAACAAGAATTCCATACGAGTAAACATCACATTCCTTTGTATAAACCATTGTGGCCACCACTTCTGGAGCTTGCCTTAATTTTAGCTGTTACGTGTACTGTTCTGAGGGATAAGAGAATTTTGAAACAGGATGCACCCTACCGCTGGGGTAATTTTCCGCAAAGTACGATTCTTCCCCCCGCCCATCCCCGTCTCTCCGATATGCTACCTACCTTTCTACCACTTTCTTTGCAAGTTTTTCCCCAAGATTTCGGCGTCAAGCGGAGGTGGAACTGCACCACGAGTAGGTCTTTCAAAAGAAGGCTGGGTGTGGTATGGGCGGAACATTCTCTTCATGGAGTCCATGCCAACTGCTGAAGCTTTGTCAAGCTTGCTTAAAGTTATGCTCGCCAACAGAACCACCTTGTCCAAACGCTTGAGCATTCAGGTAAAAGGAAAGGTGAAGCTCTCATTCGATGCCATACCCAAAGCCGAGCAGCAAACCACATACCCCTCGAGAACCAGAAGACGTGCTAAGTTCATTGTATTGGCAATTCCCCCGAACATCTTTCTCATGTCAAACAATTCATATTTCTTACCATTTAACAGGTATCTTTTCGAAGCCTTGTATTTTATATTTGTCTGCCTGCTTTGACAGACCGAAATCAGATATTTTAACAATATTCCGCTGATTATCAATTAAACAATTCCTGCATGCTATATCACTGAAAAAGAAAGAGTAAAGTATTCAAAAGCGAAAACTGGTTCTTTGAATGCAACAGGATCCATCTAGGTAGACCAGTAAGTCAACTTCATGCACGCTCCATGATAACAACTCGTGGTTATTTCAGATTTTAACGTCTGGAAGTTTTAAAGGATGGAGAAAATATTAGAAGAGATGTGTATAAAAATGCTAAGATCCCCGCTAGGTAAAGCGTAATGTGAGCATACGGCGAAGGGATCTTAAAGGCAGTTGGCACGATGATATGGTCTCGGCTTAAAATGCTTGTAGGGCGCTATATAGTGGGAAAATGGCGAAAGAACACGCGGGTGAAAACGCCCGTCAAAATCCTGCGAGAAAAGAGCCCCCAGTCCTCAATGTGTTCAAAATCTTTTAGGCATCTTGCCAAAAGTCGCTATCGAAGGTACGGCTACTTATGTGGCCTCATATAACCATGCAGCGTCACCGCCACTTCTACAATCCACTTCGCCTTCATAAGTATTTTGCTCAGCAACATGAACTTGATTACGAGGTCAGGAACGGTCGTCCATTTGTGGGCGGGCGGGCGTGGCGGGCGGTTGGGTCGGAATGTTGTGGCTTGATAGGGCCCTTATAAGGGCACCTCCCTTGGAAAATCATGCAGCTCCTGTCAGGGTCGCGGAATTCGTCCTGCCAGGCATACTAATCTACTCGTCTTCGGATTTATCGGATGTGTTCAACTGCTTAAGCGTGCAAAGAATAGGAGAACAAGTGAAGGAACGGCCGACCAAGAGAGGCCAGAGCCGAGCGCTCGGCAAACAGCGACTATAGAATGGAACATTTGGATAGAAATGGAGAACGATAGCAAGGGCGGATGAACGTGTCAAATTCGCCACATTCTTAGGCTGCATTAATATTTATGCGACAGAGCCCTCGAGGGTGGTGGGACAGTAGTAAGGGGATCAACAAAGCTACCAGTGTGGCAGCGTGTACCAGCCTCTCGTCCGGGAGGGGAGAGTCTGGTGCGATAGGAGGGTAGCAGACAGCTGGTAGAGTATGGGGAGATAGGAGGGTAGCAGACTGCTGGTAGAGAGTATGGCGCGGAGAAGGTACCAGCTGTCTGCTACCCTCCTATCGCGCCATACTCTCCTCTCCCGGACGCTTGTAGGCGCTGATGACAAGCTAGATTGACACCTATATTTCTCAGGCCCTCAAGACGCTGTTACACGCTGTTAGACGCTGGTGGACACTGCTGCAAAGTATGAACGCAACTTTAGGCAGCGTTCAGTCTTGTCGCGATACGCCGCGATGCAACCGTAGCGCTGCAAGCTGTACCAGACCCCAGCTTCCCTTTATGTTCTTTCTTCCGGTATTCAATCCCTTTTTCACTGTTTCTCATTTCTACCTGATTCTTAGCTCCTCTTTTCACTTTAACATTGAATTTAAACAGAACAAAATTTAAACAGAACAGAACATTGAACAGAACGAAAACAATTTCGTAATCGGGATCAACATGATGCACCACTGCAAGACATCAAACATCAATAGCAACCCTGAGACTGAATAATTAAAGTCGAAAACGGTATACAAAATCATTATCACAGTGTCCTGTATCAAAAACTACATTAAAATTCAATGTCAAAGTGAAAAAGAGGAGCTAAGAATCAGGTAGAAATGAGAAACAGTGAAAAAGGGGTTGAATACCGGAAGAAAGAACATAAAGGGAAGCTGGGGTCTGGTACAATTGCAGCGCGACAGTTGCAGCGCGGCAATTGTATCGCGTCCAGTCACTACCTTTCCGACATTTCACGGGCTTTTATAAAAGTAAAAAGTAGAGTTCAAAGTCTGTATATCAGGAATTGCCTGGTTGCATACCGATGCATGCAGCGCTTACTGTGAAGGTAGTATAAACCGAGTGACACATCAAAAGCATAAGAACAACGATCCGGACAGCTGACCTGCAACATTTCGGGTTAATCGCACAGTGCTTCTTGCCTTAGACACCAGATCTCTGAGATACGGTAGGCGTGGCTAGCCTCTTCATTTGAGAGCGAGCGGCAGCGTCGTCATGGGAGGGGCACTGAATTTGAGGGCGGCGCCGCTAGTTTATATCATTGTTGTCGCTAGCGACTGGGTTCAAATGTAGTAAAGAAGCCACAACGCGTACCCTAGCATTCGTAGGACTGTGCACGATCGCGAACAGCTACGCCTACCATGTTTCAGGGGTGTGGAATGTGGGTACAACGTGGAGAAAAAGTATGCGCACGCGATTTCGACACCGTAGGTAAGCGGCCTTAGTAATTAAATGGGGCTTCTAATAATTTTTTCCAGTTATTCGCTTTCTAATTTCGAAATATTTGTTCGTTTCGGTGAACCATGCTGTCAAGGTCTGCCCAAGTCGCAATGCGATTAAGAGTTAAGCAGCGAATAGTGTGAAGCACTCAATGGTTTCCTGAAAGCCGCAGTTTCTCAAAGAGTCGTGCACAACATTGTAAAACAATCGTGAAAATAAGGCACGTTCAGGACAGAAGAGAACGAAAATGGACGGTCAACACCCCTTAGTTGCGTGCTAGATAAGGAGGAAATTGCCAAACGTATACCTGTTGCTTGAACAGGACTGTCAAAAAGATCAAAATTCCGGCGCAGTTTGAGGGGGTGGGGGAGGGGTGGCATTTTGTACTCATTGCTTCCCTAGTTCCTGGTTTACAAGTCTCACTCTGGCGAAACCTGTGAACTCTTGTGAAGCTGGAGCAAGCTCATCTAGCCATCATGGTAAAACCTGTCAACTCGAGAAGAGGCTGCCTAGATAGGTCGACACGTCGATGGGAAGTAGCGAAAGTGCAAAATGCCCCTCCCCCCCTCCCCGTCGACAAACTGCGCCCAGAATCCCTCGATAATCTGTCGAAAGCAGAGCTTAGGCCTGGAAATTATCGTCTGTCAAGCGGACAGTTCCTTGCCGCAGCCAGTCGTCAAAATGCCTTTTCGACCTCCGGTATGGGTGATGGTTTTTCCCTTGAATTGCACTCGAGGCTTCGAGTCGCCCTCTACCGCGCTTCCGCTCTCACGGGACCTTTTTTTGATGATAACCCCTACAGAAATAGGTTAAGAAGGCTTACAGAGTTGTTTTTGAGAAAGTGATCAAGTCCACCTCCTGTGACCATTTCCATCACAATCATCGCACTGTCGTTATCGATGACCATGCCGTAGAATGCGACAATATTCCTGAATAAGAGGAAAACCAGATCCTACGATGCAGAAAACAGAGAGGTAAGTGTGTTCGCCCGTAGGGCAGCGCTTAATCTTCGAGATGACGGGCGTCGACGCGCTGCGACGCGAGTCGATTCCCGTTTGCGTTCGCTCGATCGATGCGGCCCCGATCGCCTGCGTTTGAGGGGGTGGCGTAGTAGAATGATGGGTGTTCACTAGTCACGCGGACTGATATCGACCAGGACTGCTCGTCTGCGGCCATGTTGCATCTATAGCTTCAGAGCGCTCTTGCCATTGCGTTACAGCGCGTTACAGCGTGTTACAGCGCGTCCTCGCAAAGTCTGAACGTCCTTCCGAAACCGTGCGGATAATGAACCAGTAGACCCAACGCTGTGGCATTCAAGGTGATCTCCAAGGTGAACCCGAACAGCTAGTGAAAAAGCCTTGAGGGATCAGAATCGAACCACTGCCTTGTAGTGCTAGAAGAGGGCGAGGGCGGGGCAGTTGCTCCCCAACCACGAGACCACGGACTAACGTGGCTGCCGCTCCTCTTCATCACAACCAATACCTTGGAAAGTCTTAACTTTCCCAGTATCACGATAGCTGTAAGATATATTCCTACTACATTTCTACGCCCATACTTTCCCCCCCCCCCCGTCCGATAAACATTTTATACCAAGAGGCGGAGGGCGAATGGGCCGGAGTTTCACGCAAGCGGGCCTAAGTTACAGTCGTCATCCTTGCACTTATAGGGGCGTGTCGGACGAGGAAGGAGCGTGCACACTGTTATGCAAGGCTTTCTTCAGCTTTGGCGTTGGAAATGCTGTCATGCGACAAAAAGTTGATTAGAAACGGAGGGGACACGAAGGATATAATACAGTAATGTCACTTCCTGGTTCAACGATTGGTGCAGTACGGGTGCGGGCGACCGCGCCGCACGCAGCCGCACTGACATTGACTATCAAGTGCAAGGATGACGACTGTACAATTGACGCCGCAATCTTTGCCATTGAATCCCTGCCGCACGAGCCGCCCTTGATGTCTGTTGTGGTTGCGGCCCTCCGCACTGCAAACGCAGGTAGGGTCCCATTCCCCTCCCCCAAGAGATTTGTGAAGTATGGCTCAGAATACATTAGTGCTATGAAAGTAGATATTTCATATAATTTCTCTAGAGTTTCAAAAACCCTCTGATAGTTTAGATTTACTTACAAATGCTTGTATTGTCGCATCAATCGTGCTTCTTTGTGCATTTCTTGCATTAAAGCTTTATTCTCTTCCTTAACTTTTGTCTGAATGCAAGAGAATTTGTAGATGGCGACCTGAAGGATCGCATCTGTAAATTCCTCTGTTTCAAAACAACTAGTTTTCAAATTTTCTTATTATTATGTGGACATGTAGCGCCATTTCGGCGCAGTTCGGCTTCGTGGGGGTCAAAGGTACTCACTAAGCTTGTACAGGCCCTTGTGAGAGATTGTGAATTTCTGGAGAACAGGATGGCTCCTCGAACGATTTCGCAGCGGTCATCAGGACGTGCAGACTGGCTGGGGTAACTACAGTCCTCATCATTGCGGACCGGTGGGGCGTGTCAGTGCGGCTGCGTTTGGCGCGGTGCCAAAGTCGTTCTGCACCAGTTGTTGAAGCGGGCAAGTGACATTACTGTATTATGTCCTTCGTATTACTCGTTTTCTACCACTTTTTTTGTCGCATAGCGGTATCAACAAAAGAACGTGAGAACGGTCACATTTTTGCTCGGATTGCTCTTTCTGGCTGGACACGCCCACCGGTCCGGCCAGTTTATTGATTGAGAACTGTACCTATCAATAACGTGCCACTTCAAGCCGCAACAGCGCCAGCGCTTGTACTTATGGCGCCACATCCACATGTTTCTCCTCCAATATGCTTTTCGTGAGCGACGTTGTGGTGATGACGACTGTGCGCGCTTACCACTCGGCGCGGTCCTTTAGGTGTTCGACATTCCCAGGCCGTTGGTCACGGCGGTGTTCGCCCAGGCCAAACCAAGCCTTCTACCTCCCGGGACGTAAATTTTTGTACCGGATTCGTCTTGGGGAGGATACAGACACTCGCACTTGTACATTCGCGCTAGGCCCCCCGCAAGTCATTGCTATTAGGTCACATCGCATTCAATAAGCCGCTACGATCTGCGGTTATTGTTAGTTGTTGAGAATGTGTGCGCGCGCGATTCGCGAAAGAGGTGTGGATTTGCTGGTCATAACTGACGAAAGACTTTATCCTTATCTCTTTTATGGCTTTTCGTTGAATAACGGTGCGCGTTTCTTGTTACGAAATTAGTCGAGAACACGTACAACTTTAATAGCAACTTCGACGAATGTTGTGAAATGCTTCATTGTCCCTTTCCATACTTCGCCAAAAGCTCCTTCTCCAATTTTCGCATCCATTCTTATTTTATCCTTTTGACATTCCAATGCTGTTTCGGTTGATGGCCTAAATCAGGTTGCCTGACCTGCGAGCCGGATCCTACTCTATGTAGGTGCGTGGCGGTGAAAAGTGTCCACTAACATCGACGAAAGAGCGCACAACCTGACACCTTACTTACTTTCCTTCTCCAAGCGGAATAAACTCTACTCTGGGGGTACGGGCAGGGTTTGTGAAACGCGATCGGATGTCCCGGGGAGCGCCGATGCCGTCCGGAAGCCGCTATACGCTTGTAAGAATAAGCTTTCGCACGGCCCTTTGTGAGAGCAGGTTACCCTCGTCATCCGGGCAGTTGATTAGGGCGGTCGTCAACGGGCCGCAGCGCGTGCCAGGAACTATTTGCTTTTTCCAGGCTAATTTAGTCATTTTTTCCAACTTTTCACTGTTTTGGCTACTTTTTCCCAGATTAGCAGCTCCTTATCTTCACAAGGTGGAAAAAATGACTAAATTAGCCTGGAAAAGCAAATAGTTCCTGGCACGCGCTGCGGCCCGTTGACGACCGCCCTAATCAACTGCCCGGATGACGAGGTTATGCAATGGTTGCCAAAGTACCAAATGCGCAAAGGAACATACAGCGAGAGAAGACATCGGTTTTTCAAATTTATTTTTTTAGTTTCTTCTTGGGCAGAGAGAGGGACTTTCGGGAGTGCGGGCAACTAATCATTTGTGAAAAGTTGGATCGTGTCAGGCACATTGACCATAAAATACCACAAGGAAGAGAGTGCAAAAAGAGAAGATTGACGCATTCGAAGGAAATAAGTCCAAGGTGCCCGTAGAGTGCCCTCGTCGTGACTAAAGTATGATGTGGGAAGCGTCATTGTGTGCGCCGCAAGGAGACCGTGCTTCTCTGAGCATGCCACAGTAAGCACATTTCGAACGACGAAAAGCTCGCGCAGGTAAGTAAGCTGCTCTGCTCACTGATTTTCAGCCCACGCTTCTGGTAGTCGTACTCATTCGTCGCCCTGCATCTCGTTGAGGCTGCCACCCTTACATTTCATCCATGAGCGTTGAACCGGGTTGCGACCCACCGATCACATTCTCAATGCGTTCTGTTAGCCGTGCGTTACGGAATCATGCCTTTATTTCATATTATCGTGTCATTCCATTGTCTTGTGCAGCAGCGTGCTTTTTGTGTTACGTCAAATTGCATTCGCAAATGCGCTTCTGTTACTGTGCTGACGATTCACTGCCTTTTATTTCGTCATCCGTGTCTTCCATGTCTTATGTCCAGTGGTGCCTTTTTGTGTTACTTCAATGTTTCCTGTTTTGATAATGGTGTTTTCTGCGGGAATATCCCTCAGTAGCTCTGTTCTGTTATGTAGCAACGAATACGATTGATCGGGCGGATTTTCTTTAATAAGTCATTTGTACATTATTAGTGCAATGGTAGCAAAGGTAGCCTTGTTCCGGGGATAGATTTAACATGCCTGTGGCGAGCCGGCAGTCATCTCGCACAGGAATTCCACAAAGTCCCCTGAGAGGCGTGGCACTTCTAATACCCCCACTCTGCTTGGTCCGGATAAGGCGCCGCCATACACTCCATTCTTTCCCCGGTGGCGACCGGCTGTTACCAGGTGCGGCCAGTCTATCGGTCGAAAATACCAGTCGACGGCGATAGCCACGGCCCCGTACCAGCTTGATGGCACGATGGCCGCTTTAACTAGACTAGGGTACAACAGGAGACGAGCGCCTGCCCGATGCGCCCGATACAACTCTTGTTCTGGGTAATGCTCTACGGATCCGTAGCAGGACCTCGTGTTCGTACGTTCCGTAACATTACCTGCTCATCGAGTACTATCTATTCCGCGAAGTGCTACCCTTACAAAGTTTTCTTTTAGAGTCCGCACCACGTTTATGCACTGCCTGTCGAACGTCGACATTTCTCCCTCACAGAGCTCTTTTTTTTCTAAGGCGTGTTGGAGTAAGGATAGTTTTCAGAGCGGAGGTATGAACTCTTCCTCGCTCAAGGATCGCTAATGTGACGGCCCCGATCACGTACGAAGTAGGCGTATAAGTAGCAGTGTGACGCTCGAGCAGCTTGGCGCATTAGGAGCCCAATCCGCTTCAAATAGAAGTGCTTGGTGCGCGCGTCGAGACCCCTCTGCGTGGGCTTTCCCAAGCCGGCTAGCTCTCTGTGCCTCAGGGAGCAGCATTGGTTGGGGAATCCCCATAGGGGGGGTCGTATTTGGCCGCCAGGAGAGGGGGGTCGTAATGAGTGCGGTAGCCAGTATCGAGCAGCGCAAAGGTGTCAGTGTGCTGAATCCTGTGTAGCGGAACTTGCTTCGTAGAGAACTCGGATATGTAAAAAATGAGTACAAAACTTTCATCCATCAAACTAATCCGAAATAATTGGAATTATTAATAAGTCGACAACATCTCGTAAGTGATTAAACACTACAACTCATACTCTGGTTTGCTGCGGATGATGGGGCGTGTCCGCGATCACGCTTGGCGCTGAGCCAACCTGTTTTTTTTCTGACAAACGACAGGACTACCATATCGTTCGTACCAGACGTTTTCCAGCACTTGGTCTCCTTTATCGGAATCAGCAACTATCGGAGCACAGATCTGGCGGCGTCGACACGGACACGCTACATCATCCGCAAGGGAAAACACTGTAGACAAGTGCACAGGTTCGCCATGGACCTCCCTGAATCCTACAGACACATTTGCGCGCGTGGACACACATTATGCACAAGTTGCACCATCCCATCACTTCTGCGCGGACCTCAGTGCGCGGCGCATACAAAGTCAGCGTGATCGGCGCTAAACGAACCATATCCTGCTCCTGCTCCACCACAGGATACGTTCTACATGCGTTCCTGGCTATTCGAACACGCTCACTTGAAACGGTGCACAGGAAACGGGTTTTTCGCGCGGCTGGGAGTGCTCCCTAAGAAATCCCCATCGCGAGATCTCATGAATCCCGAGAGCTTCAGGAACAGTTCAATAGGTTTTTAGAAAGAGAAAATCTTGAGAAGCTCGGATCCGTTCTCAGATTTGTGAAATGTTGAGTTACAAAAAAAATATATTGGTTCAAACTGTTCAACTTAAACTTCAACCCTTCACTCCCCAACGAATCCCTATGGCAGATTTCTCTGTGATTTTCGCGACCTTCATGAACATTTTAGTACTTTCAGGAAGATCAAACCTTCTAATTTACCAATACGCTCTCCTCTTCCCCACAGGTCCGCTTTTGAGGAAGTTATGGTCCTTCAAAGACACCCTACTTTGCTGAAAATTCTCGCTCCATGGCTAATAGCCGTTTGCTCCAGTCAAAGCTGCAATTCATACCCAACTCTGCTACCGTACGATTTCTGCGGAAATTCTGCCCCTCAAATCAAGTGCACTGGGGTCCTGCGCACAACAACTGGATTTGCATTTGTTTTAACAAATCGTTGGAGATTCTTCGAGTTTGATTAGGCAACATGCCATTTATTTATCGTTCATGTTTATTGTTCCTGTTTTTTTTCTCCTTTTTCCTTCCTTTGCGCTCATAAGTTTTCCTAGTTTTACTGAGCGTTCAGAAATAGCTTTGAGTTGTGTTTATTTCCTCTCGATTTTTTTCAGATTCACGTAGGGAACAATAAATAACAACTCAAAGCTATTCCTGAACGCTCACTAAAACTAGGAAAAAAGTT